ATGTCAAATTTTATTTTGCAAGCAGGATATTCTACATTAAATTGTTAAGAATTAATCACACTATCATTCACATTTCAAAATGTGACATAACTTAAAGAATAGAAATGTAGATTTACTATATGTTATTGTTGAGTGGCTCTTAGCATGATTGAAATGCTCAACAATTTATTTTCATCATGAGCAGTATAAGTAGTTCAGAGCTGTGGCTATGAGCTGAGTGAAACCAAGAATGCAACACAATTAACCTTTTTAAAGTCTTGTGCTTTCCTCCACACCTCTGACTCAATTTAGCAGAAATTGATAATCCATCACATTCATAAGTATAATAAAAGCATGATAAACATTTTGAACATCTAAGCCTTTTACATTTGTAAGATGAAGGTTCCATTTTGAACTAGAATTGCAGTTTTTTTTTGACAGTTATTAATCAGTCATCAGAAATTTTGATCCATTGATTTCAAGCAGCCAGTGGTTCACTGAAGCTAAAAATAAGCTAAATTTTTGCCTTTTTGGCCAATGATATTGCTTAAAAAAAGGAAACTGAAAAAACCTTCTGCAATGGGTCATTTTCTTTTGTGAACAACATGAGCTTATCCCCATTTACAGATGTGGGTGATGTTGAATAAAAACAAAAATAAAAGCTATATTTACTTTTTTGTGTGTGTTTTATGTGATGTGAAGCAAGTAGATGTTTAAAAAGAACAAGTGGATTTTTCTACCTTTTTGTCCCTTGGATAGGAAATTTTCAAAAATTCCAAACCCCTGTTATATCATGCAAAACTAGTTACTTGATTTTCAGTTTTGTGTTAGTCCTGATCTTGAAATGTATATACACACACATATATGTATATATGTGTGTGTGTATTTTAGTGACAATGACAATAGTTGTATATAATACTGTTATGATTAGTTGTCTTTAAAGCTAATTAGCTTCTGCTCTAGGACTTGAATACATGTATGATGCTAGGTGTTCATTTGTATGTAAGTAATCAGTATTTTTTTAATATTTTAAATACTGTTTTAGCTATTTAGTTTTGTTACTAGAGGATAACCACTTAGGTCTTAAGTGCTATCAAAATAATACTGTTAAAAATAAATATTTTGTAATAACAACATCCTTACAAAGACATGCCATGCGATGCTTAAAACCATTAGTTCTAATTATTTAAAAAATGTTAAGTGATGCACTATGGATATGGGAAGTTGGGAAGGACTTTGTATGTATAAGAAGCATACTGTATATATATATATATATATAAAAAAAAACAACAACATTAACCTTAAATTTTTTATAAAAGCTTGAAGCCTTCATCTAAGTGTATATATATGTGGTTTAAAAGAGCTAATAGGGTTCTAGCACTTGTGTAAAAAAAATGTGGAATTTCAGAATAAGAAGTTTATAGCAGCTGTGCTTATAACACTGGTAGGTTTTGTTCAGAATAATATATATTGTTTTGGTCCCCTTACTGCATGTAGGATATCATCTTGCATGAAATAGTTTATAGTTATAATAGTAGTTGATTTAATAAATTTGAACTTGAAAGAGAGCATTTAACATAATAAGCTTTTCAAGTCTAGACCCAGATGTAATATACAAAAAGGAGTCATTTGATTCTTCATGGTTGTCCTTGCATACTCACCTATGAGAAAAGTAAGAATTTAAAACCAACCTATATTTTCAGGAAATCATTGATTCCCCTCTTAAACTTTACAAAAGTTTCAATCTCCACTACTGCCAATGGCATCTCATTCTACAAACTAGTCACCCTGTTAGTAAAATACAATTATCTCAACTGGAGCCTAGCTTGTCTTTTCCAAATTTTAAACTTGTGTACTCTCATCCTATTGTCTTAAGACTACAACGCAAAGAAGTCGGATGCCTTTATCCTAATTATATCATGGATAATCATGTGAACTTAGATAACAGTCTCTTATGCTGTTCTCAAGATAAACTAAAAGATCTTAAGTTTCAGGATAATGAGTTACATACGCCTAGTTCTTGGGATAAATGTTACAATTTTAAATGAAATTATAAACTCAGTCACACAAATATACTAATGTATGTGGTGTTGGTGAACAGAAGAATGTCAAAGGTCAGATATAGTAGCCACTCTCTCTTTCATTCTTGAATATTATGAGTAATATAGTTGAAGCATTATATTTAATTAGCTATAATCATTAATAGGCATATATGTTTAGTTCTGATCTATGTAGATAGATTGTGTTGTTGAAAAATTTAAATGAATTTTTAATAACTTAATAGAGAATGGTCAGATGCCTGAAGGTTGGAGAGCTGCTTATGTTATTCTAGTTTTTACAGAACATGATAAAAGTTGCCATAGAAATTACAGACAAGTTATTCTGTAGCAGGAAAAATTGTAGTGTCTGATAAAAGAAGCATCACAGCATCATTTAGTGGATTCATTAAAGGAAAAACTTGCCTTGCTAACCTGTTATCTTTTACCATTGATGTTACTTGTTATGTGGACAAAGAAAATGGTGTGGATTTAGCATACTTAGATTTAAAAAAGTTTTTGATAAGGTGTAATAAAATATTAGCTGAGAAAATCACATCAGTATGGATGAGAGAATTCAGAAAGTTGTTATTAATGGAGTTTAACCGAACTGGACTCTTGTTACTATTGGAGTACCTTAGGAGTCGGTGCTTGGGCCTTTGCTTCTGTTTATTTACATAATGATATTAATAGGGGCGTGATTAGTAAATTAGTACAATTTGCTTGTGACATTAAACTCTTGGATCTTTCAAGCTACATTGAGAATGTTGAGGTACTACAGAATGACTTAGACCAAAATGTAAGTTGGAAAAATATTTGGCTTAAGTGCAAAGTAATGCATTTTGGTTGTCATAATTTGTATCACATATTTTGTATAGATGAGAATCACTCAATAGCTTGAAAGAAGAAATGGACCATGATGTAGTGTTTGATAAGTCAATCAAGCTATCTGAGCAGTGCTCTGTTGCTAATACTTAAGCTAATGAAATATTAAGGTATGTTTAGATTCAGTGATCACTAATCAAAAGAGCTAGTTATCTACATACAAGTCACTAGTTAAAATCACTACAAATACTATGTACAATTTTGGTTGCCTTATGTCAGAAAGGATATTGACTTATTGAAAGTGTTCAAAGAAGGGTTACTAGGAGGATGATTCCAGGAATGAAAGGGTTACAGGAATACTGTAAGATCTCTTTAGAAAAGTGCAAGAGGTGATCTTATTGAAATTTACAGGATTATCTAAGGGATCAAGAACATCAAGGCCTCTGATTCCTTTGTGCTAAAGTCTGAAGATAACAGGACAAGAGGACCAAGTTTAAGATTTTGAAAAGACCAGCTAGGCTTTAGTTAAGATAATTTTATTTTTCTAACAGGGTGATTAACTTACATAATGAGTTGTGCTCAGCTGTAATGGAAGCCAACACTTTACAGAAATTAAAGTGGAAAAATTGATGATTTTGTAAAAAGGAAAGTTGTGTTTAAATTTTTATTTTTCCCAAGGGTGGGTGTGCAAGGGCAGCCTTGAAGGAGCAAATGACCTTTTGTTGTCCGTAATTTTTTTTCCCCATATCTATTCCACCTCACCATTTAACTCATTATCCCAATTCGCTAATAACAGATTGTCTCATGGCCTCATAATTGGCTTTTTGAAAGTTAGGAACTAATATTACATTTTATCTCAACATGTAGCAAAACATCAAACTCTATTATGCAATGATAATTTCTCCAAATATGACCCTACTTCAACCATATCCTTATTGGTTTATTGATCATTTCATATAGTTGGTTCCATACAATATAATTTGTTATTGAAATCATCTGTCTAATCAGATGACTGAGAACAACTGCTAATTAGAAGCTTTCTACTCTTGAAACCCTGATTGTATCCCTTGTAGGTTCAACCATTTGACTACCATTTTATAAAATCTTCAGTCTCAATAGGCTGCAGTTAATTTCTTATGAAGAGCCATCTTACCCCTTTCTCAAAAAGTCTGTCACTTTTAAATATTTTATAACCTGAAATTCCAAAATAATTCCAATTATCAATTATTAGGAATTATTTATTGAAATATGTTTTCAGGTCAGGTAAACATTAACTTTAAGCCTTTGATCCTGCTAAGAAATGACTTTTTTTCATATTACTCTCTGAAAATAGCCACATGTCTATTTTTTTCCACAAACATCTGAAGGAGTTTTTTGTATTTTAAGCAACTTTTCTGATTTACAATTTTCAACATTATTTTCTCCTACATGTACTACAAAAAAAAAGTGTTCCTTGTGTGCCAGCACCTAAATTGTCAATACAATTATTTTGCCTTGTGCTTTATCGATAATCTGTCAAGCAAGTTCTAGTCATAGTCTTTCTGTGCTTTCCGCTACAAATAAGTTTATACGTATAATTAATGAGTGTCCCCCTAAGTATGAAAATCTCCTAATCATCTTGTTTTTTACTGCAAGCAGCCAAACCAGTTGTAGCTCTTTATATGTATGTGTACAAACACACATACATACATGCATTTCAACATATATGTCAAACAAAAATTCACTAACTCTTAAGTGATTTTTAGCAAAAAAAAATCAGCTTTTAAAATAAAACATACTAATTTGCTTCTAAGTCTGGTCCAGTAGGTTTTATACATTAAAAAGTTTTATTTGCCATTGGAAAAACTCCTGATTAAGAAAATGTAACATGAGTTTTATATTTCAAAGGTCAAATTATTTATATGTTTAATATTCGTGATACTTTGCAGTATGTAAATGTAAGTTTACAAATAATATGGTGAGTATTTATATACAAAACTGCTAAAAAATAATCAATCCTTCTCTACATTGAAAGTAATGTCACAAGGCTTTGTTTAGTAATATTTTAACTTGTTTCAATAATAACATTGTACAGTATGTCAGTATATAAACAGAAATGTTAAACCTGCACATTTGTGCATATTTATACATAAGTATAAAGGATTTCATTTACTTTCTTAGAAATATCCAAATCCAGATGTATTCAAGTCAAACTTGAACAATCAACACTATGCGTGATACTAGGTGAAAGTGATTGAAAACTACACCCCATCTGTTTTTGTTAGAAACTGGACGTGTTTTGCAAAGATGTGTGATCAAAGAAGAAATTTAATATTTTCACAAGGTGTGTCTCTGTGAAATATGTGTAATTATTTAAACACATTGTATGAATGGAAAGAGTATTTTGGAATTTAGAGTATACTAAGAAGAACCATAAGTATATTTTTGAGGAGTTAATAAATAAGTTTTAAGTGTAACATTTATGTATCTGTAGAGCTTAAAATAAAAAGAAGTTTCAGAAGAATGAAATAATATTAGTTACATGACTTGCATGAACTGAATTAATTATCAAAGTTAAGTTTTAATATGTGCTTTTATTATTTTGCTTGTTTGTACTCAAGAAAATCAGTAGTTATGTGAAATTGGTAATTTTTTTTTATACATATAACCATAATATGTCTTTCTCATATTGAAATATCTGACAGATGATTACCTTCCTTTGTATATTTTTATTCGAAGCTGAGATATTCGGTAGCCAAAGTTATGCCTAACAGTATTTGAAATTTATTGCTCTGAAGTGTCTCTATAATGATTTTTTAATTGAAAATGTTTTTATATTTAATAACTTGATTAATGAAATATATTACAACTGATAATTCATACCGAAAGTTTTACTTCTCATTAATATTATTGTATCTTTTAGTGAAATTTTTTGAACATTTTATTTAACAAGGAGTCCCATAGCTTTGTGTGTAAGGACATCCAACTTGATGTTAGTGTGAATTTGCAGAGAAAAATACTTCTGTAGTAACAGTATAATGATGTATATTTATTTCTAAACAATTTTTATTTTCTCTCTGATGGGTGCAACACTAGAATAAATGAAAACATTCATGTCACCCAGTTCAATTAAAGTGTAATATTTGTGAAACGATACTTAAGTGGAAAGTAATATTTATTTATTTATTTTATATTGTACAAACACCAACAGTTACTCTTTTTTTTTTAACCTGGATTCATTCTCAGTAATAATAACACTAATTTTTCTGTGTAAAATATTTTGGAAAGTTTTAGGATTTGTCTTTGAGCTAGCTTACACTTCAAAGTTAGGTACATTGTGCATATAAGCTGAAGTTAATATGTTTTTATGTTCCAGATGAAAATATGAAGTAAACAAAATGTTTGAAGCTTTTTTTATGTTGCACAGTTATAGGTTTCCATAAGGCTGATAAGTAATTATTGATAGAACTATTTTTCAATAATCAAAGCTTAATATTAAATAATGTTCAGTAAAAGGATGGAAATTTAAAAGTAAACAGCATATATTTTTATTGAACTTTATCAGTATGTACTCTTAAGTTATGATTTAGAGATTACATCGATGATATTATTAGAAAAACTTTGGATACTTTTTTTTTCCCTAAAATCAGTATTTTATTTTTAATAGAAAAGCGTGGACAGTTGAGGTTGAATTTTACACCAGGAAGAAGCTCAAGAAGAGCTCAGATACCAACTTCTGTCCCTGGAATAAGCTATCAAGTTCCTACGTAGGTTATAGTTGTGCTTAATAGGCATTTGTGGAGTAATTGTTTTTAGCTTTAGAAGTAACCAAAATCTGCTAGTGTTTTTGTAAAACAGTTTGAACAATCTAATTATTATTTATCAATGTGCTTATTTTCTTTATATGTCTGCTGTTTTTTTGTACTCTTAAGCAGTAATGGCCAAAAGTTATAAACTAGAGCATACATTTGATAAAGGAAATGAGTAAGATACAACTCTAGTTACATTGCATACCTAAAAAAGTAGTTTTGCAGCAAACTTTGAAAAAGTCATTTATTGTATTATTTGCAATTAATACCTAATGTTAAATATTGTGGACATTTTATCTTAGAAGATAGTCATGGTTATGAAGCTTGTAGTATAAAGATGAAGATGTTTAAATAAATGCTGTATATACAAGCCATATGCATAGGCACCTTATATATTTAAAATACTATTTATTCTTTGTAAGATTATAGATTTTTCTATTTCTATAGTAAATTATAACAAAAACGTTATTTTTATAGTTGGAAAATGATGACATGTTTAGGTAACAAATAATTGAATAAAAAGCTAGGCATTAACAATCAAGATTTGATAGTCCAACTGTATATCAATACATATTGTAAATATCACACTAACATATGATATTCTAAAATACACTAAGAAATCCTGTTGAATGATTTTATTACATCATTTAATTTTATAAACCTTATGGCAGTGGTCCCAAATTGTAGTATGTGACGTCTTTCTTGGTGTGTGTGTGAATCTTTGAAAAATAGTAAATAGAAAATAAATACTATAATTTAAAATTGGAGGCCAGTCTCAGTAAATTATCAGTGTATTCCACTAGCCAGCACTCAATGTTTATATATTGTTGACTCACCCTTGAATTACTTCTTTTGATTTTTTTCAAATTACATATGTCAGGAGTAAGCCACTGGCTAAGTGGTCTGACTGGGGTATGCAGGATAAGGTAAGGTTGGGTACTGCTGCCTTAGGGTGACATAATAACCATTCTAACACATACAAGTACACACCTTTTTATAAAAATATTATGGTCCATTAAGATAATCATGTGACCCAGCACAAAACACTACACAATCATTATTCATTGTGCTGAAATCAAAGGTTCTGGGATCTCTTACGATTCTTGATTTTGACTCTATTTTTTTAAAGTAGACATATCTCAGTGATTTATCACTATTGGGTTTCAAGTGGTTTTGGTGAATTCATATTGGATTTTTAAAAAATTGTGTGAATTAATGTATTTGTTATAATTCAGGTGTCACATGTCACATCCCAAAACATAGGTTTGTATTTGTTAAGAAATTGTTATTCCTTGGGAGTACAATTTCCCATGCCTTGATTTTCATATGATTTTCCTTCTGTATTTGACCCAGCATGGCCAGATGGTTAGGCCGCTTGACTCGCAATCTGAGGGGCATTATAATTATAAATAGCTGTGGGGGCATTATAATTTGGTGGTCAATCCTACCATTCATTGGTAAAAAAGTAGCCCAAGAATTGGCAGTGGGTGGTGATGACTAGCTGCCTTCCCTCTAGTTATTCACTGCGAAATTAGGGACGGCTAGTGCAGATAGCCCCTGTGTAACTTTGCGCGAAATTTAAAACAAACCAAACCTTCTGTGTTTGAGGTTTTACTTTTATTGCTTACACCTTTTGTGATTCATAGCATGTGGTCTGAACAATCACTAATGAAGCTTAGCTTTGAAAATAGCTACAGGAAAAGCTTGATTGTCATTGGATAGCACAATTATATGCTATTTATGCCAATGTAGAGTAAATAATGTGGTATGAATTTATGATTATGTTGGAAAGTGAATGTGAATCTCTTGCAGAAGTGAACAAAACAATCTGATTGGAACTTTAGAAGACTTGGTAACAAACCACAGATCTAGGAATTTTTGTATAGTTTCGTTATACATTTTTTCATTCCTGAAAAATGTTTTCATTTTAAATTAAAAGCTATGGAAATTCTCTTCTATGACAAGTCATCACCAGGTAAGCTAAGTTAGGTTTAGTGAGTATGGAAGACAACAGCAAAATATTCTGATGTTCAAACTTTTATTTGTTGAATATTATTGTTAAGTTTGTTATGTTTAAACAATGTAAATAAGTAAAAGAAACTATATTTATTAGATATAAATTTATCTTGACCAAGAATATTGTTAATAAAAGTATTACCTAGTCTGACTTCATTTCATTTTGAAAGGTCACTGAAAAATCTATGTCATTTTATCCATGGTTTTTATGATGTGTAACTGGAAGTGACGACTACTGCAATTAACAAAATAAATATTTTAATGAATACCAATCAAGATAAAACTTGCTCTATATATAAATTTGAGATTTCTGATCAATAGTAATAGAAACTAAAATGATAGGAATGTTGTTGTTTTTTTGAGGTTTCTCACATCAATATTTTCTAAATTTCAAAATGTAAAAGATGATAGAAAAACTAAATCAAATTATATGAATTTTTCAAAACCAGAACTATATACCACTTAGTGAGTTTCTATTAAGTTTATACAATTTTTTAAGTATTTCCACCATGAAAATATTAAGAGGTATCATCCCACTAGGAAGGGTTAATATTACTTTGTGTGTATGTGTGAGAGGGAGAGATCCTGAAGAATATGTAGGATGTTTAATAGTTTATTATATACTTGATCTTTGTTTTTCAGCAGAGAAAATTGGCTTACAAAAAGTAAGCAAACTTCTGGTAAATTAAAGATTTCTCCTAAAGAGGTAAGCTAATAGTTTTGTAACTGTAGTTAACACTGAAATTATAAAGGATAGTGAATTTCTTCTATGTGTTATCTACACAGGCTTGAAAAGCCCTTGAATTTGAGGCATTGTATTGAAAATTCCTTAAATTTTAAGTATTACCATGAAACTTCTTGAAAATGGTCTTATTGATAAATAGAAAATAAACAAAAATATGCACAGAAAAAACTAATTGCAACTAGTTTTTTTGCCATCCTGTAGATAGACTTTCAGACTACAGTTTCGTATTGCTAATGATGACCAATTTTGTATCTGCCAAAGTATATGTTAAATTGCTTGACTGATTCACTTGTGGGTAGATGTGTGTGTGTGTGTTATACAGTTTAGCTGTGTCAAGGCCTGTGAAAATAACAGGTAAAAAGCTATCTGTTACTATTGAAACAAGACAATTGACTTCTCCAAGATAGACAAGCATTTTGGTAGTGAAACATGTTGTCAATCTGTTTTGAACATTGATAAAACTTGTGTTCTGAAGACGGAAATTATATGAATATTGCAAACAGTTTCAGCACAGTACACTTGTAGGTTAAATTAAACTGAAGGAATATTGTTGATTCTTATGCTTCCAAACAACAGTTTTGACTCTAGATTAATGTATGGTGAAAAAGAAGATGGCTTACCTGTGTGGATTTGGCATTACAGAGTACTTCAAAGGACTGCAGATGGATCAAATTAAACTTTTCGGGTGAAAGGCCATGTCATCTCGTTTGTTGACTCACATTCAAAATTATATTGAACTACTATTTCATGAACTTATGTCAATAAGTTTGGTATCAAACTGTAGTTTATATTTCAAAGTTTATTACTATGTATTACTCAATTTCTTAATTTAAAAGCAAGTATTAAAAAACACAGGTAAACATTGACTTTTTCATGCATGTGGTATGTTGAATGCAGCACTGGTTCCAATTAGATGTTTGTGAAGTCAAAATACTAAGTCTACAGTCTCAAACAAATTAGAAACTCAAATTACCGATATTGACAAGCTAGAATATAAAATAAGAGCCTCTTATCTTTTCAAGTTGCTAAGATATTGCTCATGTTATAAATCAAACACAGTGACACCCCTCCCACCTCTTTCCATTTTTGGAAAAGCTCCCTTTTTATACACTTACTTCTATATATGACATGAATAACCAATCGGAAGCTCAGATTGTCCCCCTAGTGGCTTTCAACTATTATATTATCAATACATTTTGTTCTAAGATTTTTCTGATGGTAAAATATGTGTATTTTTAAATTGACTTATTTAAATAAAATGTTTTTCATCCCCATAACCTTCTTCGAATGCATTAGTAAATCTGATGATTTCAGAAGAACAGTTTAAGGAGAAAAGTGCACAACTTAAAACTGTTGAAGAAGATTGTAACGAGAAACTTGATGCTCTTAAGAAATGTTGAAATATTTAAGTAATAATATTAACCAAGTAAAGTTGTGTACTTATAGACTGTCTTTGAAGTTGAATACATGTTTTATTTTATACTGTCAATCTTACTGTAAGCATGATAAAGCAGGTTCATATAACTTACAATATATCATCATTTTACTCCATAAATGAACAAAGTATCATTGTTACAATTATTTATTATCAATATAATGTTGTAGACCATTGTCAGGCTTAGCAAAAATATTCAGTGATTGAGGATCTTGGAAAGTGTAGTTCAGAACTATGCTTCCAATTTTAGATGACTCAAGCTGTATAAATCCTGCATCTTGACAATATTAGAGCCATACAGATACGGAATGTTTTTATTTGTGTCTCAAAATACAAAATAGTCAAGGAGATTTACGGAATATTGTGAAATAGTTAACATAGATTAATTTTTCTCTCAGAAAAACAAGAAATATTAACAGTATATGAGATAGTCATTATAAAATAGCAATGTTCTAATAATTACAAACTTATTTAACTCTTTATCATGCTGGTTCAGAGTATTGCTAGAATTTCAAATATTATAGCTCGATATCTCATTATATAACTTTATTTCATATATATTTTAGCATTCCAAACTACCCAGATTTCCTATGCAATTCTGTAAAGAATAATAATTGTTTGGTTCTCTAAACAATGGGATTTAAAATTTCCTCCATGTAAGTGTATCTAGTTTTAATTTGGAATATCTCACCAAACACTTAATATTACAATAACATATGTATATATATATTTGTAAAACTACTTGCTACAATTATATCTCTATTTGTGTACTGCAGTCTTACTTTGAATATTTAACAAGTTCATTGTGAAAAGTAATTTATGACTTGAAAAATTTTGAACACTTTTTAATTTTTTGTTTCTGTAGACATATGATTTTACTGCTGATGACCTTGAAGATCTTGGTGAGATCGGTCGAGGGGCCTTTGGCACAGTGAATAAAATGACTCATAAACGAAGTAATATTACTATGGCAGTAAAGGTGGGATTTTTAACTCAAATAAAATGGACCATTTATATTTCATAAGTAATTTGATTTATCGACTTACAACTTGTGCAAGCATTACACAACCATGCAAAAAATGTAGATCTATACAGATAAGAAATAAATCTTTTGATTTGTTTATATAACTAGCATTTCTGCAAAGATGTTCATTTGCCAAAAGGGCTGAGTCTAAATACTTTAGGTTGTTGTTGTTTTCATTGGATTAATTGCATTGAAAACTAGAAAGATTTGGAACACTACTAAACATACTTGAGAAAATATATTTAAAAAAACTTACTTGGGGGGGGGGGGGTCACAAAAGATATTTTTTCCTTACTAATTATGAAAGAGAGAACGAATATCTTCCATGTATGTTAATTTTACTTAACTTTTCTCAGGTATTTTTATCTGTGAAATTGAATCTCTAGTGAATGTTGCTCATTATATGTATATAGAAGTTTAAGTATTTTATTAAACTTAATGGATGATAGTATTATCATTATTATTAGTAAAGGAGTTGTAGTATTATAGTACATCATGTGTAACTTGTGTGTGTGTAACAAATTTTGATGTGTCAACTGAAACTTCATAGCTGTTTTAAAAAATTTTTGACTTGGTTAGAAGATATGTTAACAAAATTAAAAATATTGAAAAATTATATATAAATTTACAGAAACTTCAATCTTATGTAAACTAGAGCAAAACATTTTGGCACAATTTGTTAGCTTAAAAGATTTTTGAGAATGACAACTTAGCCATAGTTTTGGTATTTGTGTTTAATATAATACAAGTTAAATTAAATGTAATTTATAACAGTAAAGTTTGAGATATGGTACTTAAAAGTGTATTTGTGTGTATCTTATGGTATAGTTCTTAGTTTTTGTTTTGAGCTAAACAATTTTTGGGGTCCTAATCTCAGAGAATCCGATCAACTGTGGATGAAAAGGAACAAAAACAGCTGCTCATGGACTTAGAAGTGGTTATGAGAAGCAGTGACTGTCGTTTCATTGTTCAGTTCTTTGGAGCGATATTTAAAGAGGTTAGATTTTAGTTCAGGAGCATAAGTACAAAATAAGGACATTCTTTCACTGGAATATTTTTATGTAATACTCATCAAAAATGCTTGCTGTGTCTTGCTTAAAATTTGAAATATAGTTTTATTTTTATCAAACACTAGTTTCTCTTGAACATAATTTTGTCATTATGATGAAGAAATTTTAAACCTTGATATTCTGGATATTTTATATATATTTTAAAAGACTCAATTAATTCTGAGAAAAGAGAAACATGTTCACTTAATAAAATATGTCCTTCCACTATTAAAGGGGGACTGCTGGATTTGTATGGAGTTGATGGACTCATCAGTAGACAAGTTTTATAAGTTTGTGTATGAAAAAATGAATGAGACAATCCCAGAGTGTATTTTAGGAAAAATTACTGTAGTGGTAAGTGACTATCTACTATTAGAAAAATTAGTTTTAACTTTTTTATTCACAAAATTTAACTCTACCAATCATATTGAGAAGATTTTTATTACTATCAATGTTCAAGTAATGAGAATTGGGAAGTCAGACTTTCTTGTAGATTTTTAAAAATCTTTAGAATTTTGTAAGGAAACTACCTATGATATGGGGATGTGCATATCTCAAGTAGGATTTGATGTAAAACTATAGGCATAATAAACATCTTTCAGAATTTGATGAAACTTCACAAAAATGGTTCTCAGAAATGTTTGACATGAAGGAGAATGGTATGGTTGTTAATGACATGTGTGAAAAAAAACAAACTTGTTTTTATACATTAGAACTCCCATAGCATTGTTAATCAAACATAATATCTTCACTCCTTGGACCAAGGCATGCATAGATCAACTGTTTTAATCTTATTTGCTGCTCATTGTGATTGTAAATATCAAGATGTTGCCAAAGAGAGAGATTGATGTCTGGTTATTCTTTTCTTTGTTTTTATCATCATCATTATTAGTCTCATTTTATTGCTTCTTTCTTTGAAATTGTATCTTTGAGAGTTAGGGAAAGCATGATTGTTACTTTTTTCTTACTTTGGTAAATAGTATATCATGTTATTGCATTTTCATTAAAGTTCAAGATAATTAAAAGAAAAGAGGTTATATCAAACTATTCAGTAACTTGTTGCCAAACTTAGGTTGAGTTTAGACCTGTGCTTTAATTACATATAGGTCAATGACAAAGGTCACGAATCAAATTCGTTTTTATGATGGATTGTCAAAGTCAAAGTGAGAGAGATCAAAGTAATAATTTTATTTCTTATTTATCGCCAGTATTGGTCTGGTAATTTTATCACCATCTCTCTCTCTCTTTCAAATATTTAACTTAAAAGGGCATTGCAATTGACAGTTTAATGTGAGGACTTAAAATGTGTTTAATCATATTATGGATATCAGTTTTAGTTAGTCTGTATATAAGTGAATAACTGTTGGACACAGTATTAATGTTCACACGTGTAGAAGCTTTTTTTTTTATGAGTACTGTTTCTTGTTTCGTTTCAGCATTTGCTTATGTTTTAGTATAAGAATTTGTGGAGCATCAGATTATGGAATATAAATAAAGTTAATTTAAACAGCAAAGAACCTGCTTTGTGTTTCTGTCTTCAGTATTCAGTTAACTGAAAAAGTATCATGATGTTATATTTCAAAATAATTTTGATGCTAAGTTGTTTTGTATTTCTTTTATAATTTTCAAAATACTTGTAATGACCAAGTATGGCCAATTTTTTGTTTTTGTTTTTTTTTCTAACACCTAGGCTACTTTCTTTAATATTGCTAAAACATGTACTTGAAACAGAATATATAATCATTTATTTAAAACACCTGATCATATATTAATGTGCTTTTATTGAAAAAGAAAATGCTTTTCTAAATTATAAAATGTCAAGAATATTGTGTGAAATAACTGGTATTAGAACATATGCAAATGTGATGAGTTTTTATTTGATAATAATATGAATGATTTCACTAGCATCTGCAGACTTTTAAAAAGTTTAATCTTGTGAACTTTTCATGGTTGAACTGCACATGAATTAATGTATATCAATGTATAAACTGTATATGCCCAATCCTCTGATGTATAGTTTGGTTAGTGAATGTGAGTCACATTAAAGTCTCAATTTAATGTAAGAAAATCAAATGGAAAGTATATTTTGTTAAAACTAAATAAATCTAAAAATGTAATTCTAGGAAAAAGGTTATATCTTTTTTACTTGTTTAGTTGTGGACTTATGCCTGCCTGTAAAAAATTAATATTTCATTTAATATTTTAAAATCTTTCATTTTGTACATATTTCACCAGACTGTCAAGGCCCTCAATTATCTTAAGGACCAGCTTAACATAATTCACAGAGGTAAGCCAGTAATTTGTTTTTCTCTTTACCAGTGTATACTATATACTTTATTCTTTAAAAAATAGATAAAGAGCAAGAAAAAAAATGCAAATCCAGATTAAAGCCAAGTTCTTGTCATTAGAGCCTTTAGAGTTGTTATTATTATTATTAATAAAAATTGGAAAAGAACATTATAATAAAATATTTGAAAAACTTTTCTGATATTTACTGAACGATAAATTAAAAAACATCCAATATGTTAATTTGCAGTTTGTTTTATTACATTACAATGACAACGTTAATAATTTTAATCATTTTATTTTTTTACTGAGACTTTTTGGCGTATTTAGGTTTCTGTTAAGAAGAGTGTATGGTAGTTCATTTCTGGCAGTTAGTTAGATTTAAACTTAATTATTTCAGGGGAACTAGTTAATAATCAAGGGTGCTCAAAGATTAGCAATCCTCCTTCACCCTGCTCAAGGCATAAGGTTAAAGTTCAATTAATGGTCAGTGATTTAGTAGGAAAATAAATAATTAAATGAAAAATAAATAAAAATAAGTAACTAAGTTAAAAAAATAATATATATATATATACATACATACATATATATACACATGTATATATATACATATGCACATACATACACATATAATGTGTATGGTAGTATTTCAACTGCATGCCTTTATAGTACATACTACTTCTGAAGTTATTTTCTCAATACTGGAGCTCATCATTGTAGCTGACTGAGTGTACTGTATTTAAACATTATAAATGGTCATGTTCTATAAGTTTGTGTATGAAAAAATTAATTCCACAATCCCAGAGTAAATTTTATGAAAAATAAATACAATAGTGGTAAATGCCTACCTACTACTATATAAAGAATTAAATCTTTTTGTTCATAGTATTTAAGTTTGCCTGTCTTATTTAAAAAGGCATTTATTTTTTCCAGTATGAATTAGTGAACAATGTGTGAAAACCTGAATAGAGTCAATAGAGAAAGACATAATTAAAATTATTATTAGTCTTTTTTTTCAATGTAATATCATAAATACTACTAATCAACAGATTATTTTTCACTGGCCTGTGCATTATATGCCATAAGATTTGAAATATAGTGTTTTGTTATTATTGCGATGTGCTTTTTAATTAAGCCCTTAATCAATACTTCAAGCTCAGTATAAGTGAATAATTACGTGGGATCTTTTAAGTAAAATGTGAACTGATAAAACCTGAATTATTTTGGTTTTTGTTCTTACTATTTTTCTTTCAATTATCTCTTGATCTCTGATTAAAGATATTCTTTTAACCCTCTTACTACGGGTAGATCAAAATGCCCATGTCATGTCTTTTTTTAGAGTTACGGTCAAGATTTAACTACTTGATTATCATTGTATACAAATAGACTTGGCATCAAAATATAGTTAGTAAATCAAATTTTAATCTAACCTATATAAAAGCCAGTGTGCTGTGAAACCTTATATGTGTAGTAAGTGTTGGTATAATAAGCCTAAAGTAAAGATGTAGTGTGGGATCACCTAGCGTAGAGCCAAGTGCATAAAATTTATCATGAAAGTAAAAATATCAATTCAATTTTAAACTTAAATTGTTTCTGAATTAAGCTATTTTCTGTTATAACATTATAATAAAAACATTTTAATAAAAAACAAACCTCTTTAATCAATGGAAACTCTAAATTAAGAAATTAACAAATATTTTTCCAGTTGTGTATACATTTCATTCAATACTTTCAATACCTAGACTAACAACAATAATAAGTTATACTTTTGTTGCTAAACAACATGACATAAAAGCCACTGTTGGAACGTAGTACTAAAATGTACTGGCTTTTTGATATATTAGAAGTTGTTAATCTAACTGATTTTTACCAATAATTATTCTATGAATACATCATGAATTCATTTCATAAATGATCTTAATTTTGATTGGCTCTCAAAGGAACTTACTGACATTTGACTACCTTGACTGCACTTTTCTCTGTTGGTCAAGCTTTAATTTACAAAATTTATTTATTTCAGTTAGCTATGAAATGTAAAGTTAGGGTATGCTATGGGGTGGGGGTGGTAGTAGTTGCCACGTCACTCTTGACGGGCTATACGCAAGTATTATATAAGTTTTAAGTTCTTAATTTTATAAGGAAATATTTTAGAAAATCCTCAGTCTCCTATAGTATGAGAATTGTAACATTTATTCTCTAGATCTTCCCTCTTCTCTAATTTATTTACCACTCCTTCTGAGAAGTATGTCATTTAACATAAATTGCTCATTATAATATAGATAGTACTAAGACAAAGCGTAATTTTTATAGCCTTCAATCTTATTTCCTTACAGAGTTCTAAACTAGAAAATCAAGCCCACTTGACACACCCATCTGTCACATCATCTTCTCTGCACAAATTTCTAGAGATCTCTCTGACATTGTATTCTGTATTTTTTTATAACCAATAGAAAACCAAAGTTTTAGTCTATAAATGACATATTATAAAACTTTGTTTACTGTACAGAGTATTGTCTGTTTCATCTTCAGTTTGAAAGTTTCTCTCATGGTAAATTTTTAAAGGCTCTTACGCCATAGAAGGCCAGACAAATTATAATAGTTATAGGACATTATTTACTTTGCACATGTTATTATTCTGTGTTCTTAGGTGCATTATTTAATGTACAATTAACATTAGTTTAAAAATATAGGGTTAAATTTCATTTGAAACCGACAGCAAAAAAAGATTACAGGCTACAAAATAAGGTTACAGGTAAGTGATATATTTATCGTTTTTCATGTATATTCTTTATATATATTATTATAAAAGTAACTTAAATGAAAAATTGTAAACTTCTTAGGTTAGCTTAGATAGGATAATGGAAAATAATAATAAAGATTTAAATTTTTCACAAGGTATACTAGTAAGCAGCTTGTGTGTTATATCATTCAATATGGAAATGTAAGTTACCCATTGGGTGAGTGATTTATAACTTGTGTGTCAGGATTATTAGTAATGCACAGGCAATAAAACACTAAAATTAAATATAAACAATTGTAGTTTAATGTTACAATTTGCAATCATTCTAGAAAAAAAAGGGTAATTTAGATTTATTTCAAGTATTTTATGGTTGTTACCAGGTCGGTCAAATCATCTGAATGCATGTGGAGTTAGGGTAGATAAAATATAAAGTTTTATTGAAAAAGTTTGATATTTATTTAGGAGGTTTTAGAGATTATGCAAATGAAATTTCACAATTTTTAGAGTATATGTAATATTAACATGAAAACCACTTTGCACTTGGAGCAGTTAACAGTTTGACTCCATTTATTCATGGACAAATTTTTAGTAAAAATAATTGTAGTGTTTACTGATATCTTACCAAATTTCAAGAAGACACACAAAACATATTAAAAGTTATAGTATGAAAGCTGATGGCTACTTTAGGATTAAAAGGTCAGTCACATTGACTGGGTCTGTAGTGAGAGTTGCTGTAGTTGATGGTTTCCATTTAATCTATCTATTATTATAGATTTCATCACCAAAACTGTGAATTTTATCCTTTCATGTATATAGTCAACTATATATATATGTATAAGCTATTTACTTAGTTTCAAAGGAAAGCAAAATCAACAAAAATGGTTGTTCACTTACTAGCAATAAACAAATTATAATTTTGAACCTTGCAAATGAACAATTATATAAATATTGTGCTATATACTGATAACTTTATGTTTTGACAACACAAAAAAATTATACCAATTGCAAAAATAAAAGGCATTGTTTTTTAATTATGAATAACTGTGATAGCTGCCATATAGTAATGGGGATATCAGCTATTCACTAAGAATGCTGGTGTAAAAACAAAGGTATTTGTAACCAATAGGGTAGTACCTAGGTGCTTTAACCCACAATTATGCACTCACTGTCTGGAATCAATTCTGGGCATGATTGTAACTCCTTAACCTCTTGCCATGAGTATCCTTTACTGTGCATGTCACAAGGTTTTTAGTGAGTAACGTTTAATTAAACATCTTTTTGTTTATGTTATACCAATTAGTATAGCATAAAATCGTAGCTAATAATCCTGAATTTCCCCTAGTGTGAGAAATGACATATTTTCTTTGGCATCCCCTTTTCTCTAATTTATTCACCACCCCTCCAATAAGTACGAAATTTAATGTAAATTACTCACCATAAAATCGTCATCACTCAGACAAAGCATAGTTTTCATAGCCTTCAATCTTGTTTGGTTACAGAGCCATCAAATATAAAATCAGACCGCTCTTGCCACACACCCCTGTCACACCTACTTTTTCAGGATTTTTTAATAGTTCTCTCTTACATTTAATACTATATTATTTATAACCAATAGAAAGCCAAGGTTTTTCAACTATCAAATGACGTATTATATTACGTTGGTTTTTGAACAGAGAATCGTCAGTTTCTCTTTGAGTACAATATTTGTTCCCATGGGAAACATACAGACTAACTTGGATTAATTTGTAACAGCTCTTGTTGCATAGTTAGAAAGCCAGAAATATTGTATGTAAAATTATTTAGTGCAGTAGAAAAGTATTTTTAATATGAATATGAAAATCACTTTGCACTGGGACTAGTAAAAAAAAAAAAGACTCAATATATTCATGGACAAATCTTTTTTTTAGATTATTAAAAATACTTCACTAAAAAATCTGATTTTTGTATGTAAAAGACTTGTGATGTTTAGATATATTTTGTGAAGATACACCTACTTTATTAAAGTTAGTAGTATCAAAGCTATAATGATTTGAAGGAGTACAAAGTGCTCACGTGGTCTTACAATTTGACTAAGCCCCTGTTTAGAGAGTTAATAATACCAATAAAATGAGAGCCTACCTTTGCCCTTTATTCAATGCATTTATGGTAACCCTACACGTAATATTTGTGGAAAACCCAACTTTCTCCCATTTTTAAGCTTTTAAGCACTGTATTACCCATCAATATAGCTTTACACTCAACCTCTACTTTTATGTGGTTAAGAATGTTAATTATTTGTATGCAAATATAATGTAAACATAGATGTGAATTCAAATAAAGATTTTTTTTTACAATATATATACATTTAGCTGTAGTTTTATACAACTGATTGCTTTGCTTTCTTCATAGTAGTTGCTACACTACATATGTATTTAGGTTATATTTAATAGTAGAGCAGGAATAGAAGGGTAAATTTATCATATAATTTAAGAAAGGGTTAAAGATTTTAATTTAAATTGAAAAATGTAACAAACTAAACATCCAAAAAGAAAATACACCTATATTTTTTCTGATTCCTAAAATTAACATTACACTATTTATACTGGACTTTTCAAGATTTTAGTGAATGTGATTGGGTAGTTAACTCTCACTCTACTGTCTTCTTCCTCTAATTGCTATTTCAGATGTGAAGCCTAGCAACATTCTTTTAGATGAACGAGGGAATATTAAACTGTGTGACTTTGGCATTAGTGGTCAGTTAGTGGACTCTATAGCCAAAACCAGAGATGCAGGCTGTAGACCATACATGGCAGTAAGTAAAGTTGGATTGTGTTTAAATAGGAACCATCTTAACCCTAACTCAACTAGCATGCATCTTTCAGGTGTTGAATGAACATCTGAATATGAAGTTTCAAAATTTACATTCAAAATATAATTCTCACTACTAACTGTATTTCAATAATTTGTTTTAATCTAAGATGTTTTAGAATTAATAACTTATCATTATTTAACATTTAATGTAATTCATAAAATGTTTTTAAATTACAACGTTACCCCTTGGAAATATAGTGATTCATGTCATACTTTTCTTGTGATTAAAGAAAAACTTTAATATAACAGCAAATATACAATGTTTCAACAAGGTTTTGTCATCATCAGGTACCTGATGACAAAACCTTGTCTAAATGTTATACATTTGTTGTTATGTTAAACTTATAATAAAGTTTATCTTCATTACCCATTCAAGCCGTTTCCATCCATTATTAGTCTCAAAGTGGGTTCCTCATCATCGAATTTAAGCTTCAGGTTAATCATTTATATCTGTGAAAAACTTACAATATGCATTTATGTCTTTATTTGTAATATTGATTGCAAATTTATCATTGATTATTGTCAATGATAGTCAAAGAAAGTTTCCTTCAACTTCATTATTTTCTTGGTACATAGTGCTTTTTTAAAAGGTCTTCATCAACATGATGAGCTCTCTAGGTTTTTAATATGAACATTTCTGATGCAACTGAGGTGTTTCTAGTAATAGTTTTATAATTTAAAAATAATTTTATTTTTTAGCCAGAGAGAATTGATCCAAGCCGGGCCAGAGGGTACGATGTCCGATCTGACGTGTGGAGTTTAGGAATAACTTTGGTAAGAATACTTTGTAAAGTGTGCATCACATAATCATTGAAATAAATCCATGAAAACATAGGTGAGGTAAACCAAAGCAAACCTAAATTTATTTACCCTTTTTTGTTGAGTTGCTCTTATTCTACTCCTTTTTAGAATGTTCAGAGGAAATGTAGTGTAAAATTTGTTAATTATGTATCATCATAGATATGCTTTAAACACACAATTTTTTTTCAAGTTTTATTACTAGACTATATTGTAAAATTTTGTCAACAGGAAATGTTTTTTTTTAAAGAAAGGGCAATGATGGTTAAGTTCCATACCACCAGTCATGACAGAAGTATACTAGTTCTGTATTACTATCACAATTATGATTGAATTATTTTGTTTTGATCAGGTTCTGTACAAGTCACCTTAACTCTCTCAATACGAGCTCGGTCGATTTGACCAACCAAGTGACCTCTTTGTACTTGTATAAAGTCTATAGATTTGATACTACTAAATTTTAATGTAGTATGTATATCTTCATAAAGTTTGGCAGACTTTCAGTAAACATTATAAGTCTTTCACGTACAAAAAATCATATTTTTTAGTGAAGTATCTTAAATGAACTAAAAAAGATATGTTCATGAATATGTTTGAGTATTTGTTTTGAATAGTCTGTGTGCAAAGTGATTTTCATGTTAAGATTAAGAATATTTTTCTTCATCTCCAATTTGATTTCAAATGTCTGTTTTCAGTGAAACAGTACAGTTTGAAAAATTTATGTAGAATTGAAATGAAGATGAATTATGATCATATGAGTACTTTCAAGCTAGTTTGAGAAATAAAAACATCAACTGATTTTTACCTATTGGGTAACCTTGCTGTTTCTCAAAATATACTATTATAGTTATATTGGTCATTTAAACATTAGTTTACTGTACTCTGTTGCAGTAAGAGTACTTCAAGAATTTTACTGTATTTAGAAATGGAAATACTTTAATGCTTTTTTTTTATCTAGAACTCATCCCTTGTTTTATTTATCATCATTATAATAGGTAAACAACCTTCAAACTAGTTTTATCAAAAACTAAGATTTATTATACTTCTTCATGTGAAGTTCATCAAATTTTAATTGTTACACATATGTTTTTACTAACATGGAAAATAAAAGAAGAAATTCTGTTAATATTACCTTTAGAAATTTTTGATAAAGCCATGTTCATAAATTTGTTCTTTTTTTTTTAGTTTACATCCAATTTTTTTCCAGATAAATTATTGGACAGAAACATCACAATGGTTGTTGTTTATTGTGTATCTGATGATTAAAAAAAACATGAAAAAGAAGAGTGTGGTAATTCTAAGAAAATATCTTAATGAAATTAGCATATAGTTGAAGCTAGTCAGAAAAGTTGAACATTTTATCATGTTATTACATACACCAATTCCCTATCTCCTTTATTGTGTTAAGGGTTTGATCTCATTTCCGAATTTCTTTGTATTTAACACATAAGAATAGATGCCAGAGTTTTACTGTGCAGCCTTTTTTTTTCCTCTTAAGAGTTTGTTTATCCAGTATAAAAACTATGTATTGTTCAAATTAGCAATTAATTTGTAATTTTTAACAGTGAAGTTACAAGGTCTGTAACTGTGTGAATGTGTTTAGACTTATTTTTGATGTCTATGCAACTTGTTTTAGATGCACAAAATATATATCGTATATTACATTTGATATAATTTTAGCTTGGTTTATTAGATGTAAATGCAAATTGCATTTTCATGCATGTAATTTATTTATTTGTTATTATTATGTGACTTCAGTGTACTCTATCACTGCAACAGCATAGATAGCCCATTGTGTAGCTATGTGCTCAACAGCAACACAGTATCACAGCAGTAGAATATAATATTAAATGTCAATTTTTGATTTATTTAGTTTTTGACAAATTCCCATTTGGGACATAATATAGGCTTTTTGAAATATACCATCAGTATAAAAAAATGTATATGAGTTGTTTACTCAGGACATTTTTTCAAATCAGTGATAAAAGCTGTATTTTAATATTTTTTTTTCTTTACTCTCTGAACAGATTGAAGTTGCTACAGGGAAGTTCCCTTACCCTAAGTGGAACAGTGTTTTTGAACAGCTGACTCAAGTTGTGCAGGGAGAACCACCTCAGTTAAGTCTTTATGAGAATGGAAGGGCCTTTTCTAAAGATTTTGTGGCCTTTGTCAATACTTGGTGAGAGACTTGATATTGTTTTAATAGTATACTAGAGATTGTCAGGTTTCTTCAAATATTGCTATTTCTTTAAGCCTCATCTGGTATAATTTTTATATATCACACTACTTCTCATGGAACTGTAAAAATTGAAACTCAGTAGTCAATTTACATTCCTCATTTTATGTATAGAATTCATACAAACAATGGAAAGTTTTGAGAAATATAGAATTTTAAAATTCTATTTTCAAGACTGGAAAAAGTCATGGAAAAATGTAAATGTTCTTTGTAAGTTTTGAAAATGAGAAATTCTGAAACATATGTAGATCTATTTACAATTCACAGCATCGTCAAGTATGTCTAGAAATATATTGCGTATAGTAACTACTGAATCTAGTTGTTGACTGGAAAAACATCAATTTGATGTATGTTAAGTGACAACACATTCATTCATTTGCTTTATTGGCCAAATGATAAAGGTGTTCACTAAATCTACATCATTTTAATGTATTAAGTAATATGTAGTTAGATTAGTGCATATGCACAGACCTAAACACCACATGCAATCTCGTGTTTGAAATGACACTAGTAAAGGCTAAAGCCAATATAGTTATAGTAAACCTGTCCAGGGCTGTTAATGTGTTGCCCAAGGTCTAGATCCAGACCTTGTTTAACTTTTGGGTCTAAATAATATGGGCTTAGATGGGGATACTTAGATTTTTTGCCACTTTGGAAGGAACAAGAGACATACAAAGAATGGGTGGATGTTGATGAATCTAACATAAAAGCATGGTGCATCAAAAACTTTGATGTTTCAGTTATGAGAGAGGCAGGTCTGACAAGCCACATGGATGGAAAAGAGAAAACATAAAGCCTTGATGAAAGTATTGTCTGGACAAACACAAAGCATAATGCATTTTTTTTATTTAAAAAGTTATGTTATGTTACTTTATATGATATAACAACAGTTACATTATGCAAACACACCTCCATCCATCAGCACCAACTTGTATGTAAAACATTGTGCTACTGTTATATAATGGAACAGCTATGACCTTGAACATAAACAGGCTATTAAGTTAGCACATTCTGCAGTCAACCCTATAGAGATGGGGCAGTATCCAGTCTGCATTGCTCATATGGAGAATGATACACCGTGCAACAATATTTGTTGGTAAGATTTTGTTAAAGATTACAAGTATTTAACTTAAACAAATATTAAACCTTTCTAATATGCATTTTAAAACATAACTAACAGGTAAGAAACAATGCTCAAGCATAGCAAGGACAAAAGCAGCAACAATGCTAAGAGCATTTGACAAGTTCTCTATGGAATTCTTTGCACCAATTTTAAACTAACTGTTGGGAGATATTGTTTCAAAATGTAGTATTTCTATTGGTTATAAACATCCAGTTCAACTAAATATAATTGATTGAGAAATCGCAGCTCTTATGTGTAGAAAGTGAGCGTGGCATCTGTCAAGAGTTCCAAGAAATTTATTTCTCTTTTCTCCCAAGGCCCCTAAGGGGCTTTAAAGAAGAATGCGTAAACAGTGCAATTAACTTAGATTCTTTCTGTATATGGAAGGTTGAGTATAGTCAACTCATTTTCAAGTTACAAATCCCAAAGTTATCAAGTTGTGTGTTAAACTAAAGTTTAAGATTTTTTTGGAAATAAATGAACTAAAACTTATTGAACTGTAATGTAAATTTTAATGTTAATTTGATTGGTATACATTGGTGGTAAAATTGCTTAATTAAATTTTGAATGTAACATTTCGTGACATGCACAGTACAAGGGTGGCCTGTAATCATAGAGTTAAGCCTATGGTGATTATATGCATAACCTAGCTTAGATGAACTTTAACAATGCAAGCAAATGTTTAAAATAAAGTTGTTTGTGACTACGTGTATCAAGAGTCTAGTAGTAATAGTTTAATATTTAAACCATGTTATTAACTCTCTCAACACCGGCTCGGTCAACTTGACCGACCACATGACCTCTTTGTACTCATATAAAGTCTTTATAGATTTGATACTTCTAATTTTCAGTATAGTATGTATATCTTCATAAAATTTAGCAGTCTTTCAGTAAACATTATAAGTCTTTCACATACTAAAAATCATATTTTTTAGTGAAGTATTTAAAATAAAATAAAATAAAGATTTGTCCATTAATATATTGAGTATTTGTTTTGAATAGTCCGTGTGCAAGTAATTTTCATGTTAAAATTAAAAATACTTTTCGCCATCCCAAAAATCTCAAAGTTCCTTTGTGTAACAGTAAAGGGTACCTGGGGCAGTAGGGTTAAATGTACTTGCAAGTTTATTGTTAATTTGTATTTGTGTTGCCACTAAATACATGATCTCTGTTATTAGTAGCATTACTGTGGATGTAGATATAGTTGCCTTTAATATCATCCTTTTTTCATAACTCCAGCAATCTGAGAAATACTGTACAGCTGGATTTAGTTTTTGTAAATAATGCCCACCCCGACTTTTGGCCAGTTATTTTGTGGTAGAGGTGGATTGCCCATGATTGGTCCTTAACAATGGTATGCATGCTCAATTCTGGTTTGGATCTACACAATTTCAAGGAATCTCTGAAACTTTAGTTAAAAAAGACCTAGATTGAATTTCTGTTTTTAGAAATTCAAAAACAGTTTATCACATATATCTTAATGGGTAGGGACTTATTTATTTTTTTCATTACAATGCTGCTGGGTCAACGCATTAACTGTTGGCATTTCTGGATCTACCAAACTGACAACCTCTAACCATTTATAAAAAAAACACATTTTAGTGGAAATCAAGTATTGTCCGCTGAGATCTATTGGGCAATGAATGTCATAGAGAAACATTTTTCCTTTAAAAGCTGTGAAGGGATAGGAGACATTTACCATAAAATGTTCCCAGATAGCAAAGTAGCATCCATGTGTGGTTGTAGTGAGCGAAAGTGTTCATATTTAACCACATTTGGCATTGTAGTGGGTTACTTCTACTGTTAAAAGTGAAATCTGAAAGAGACTGTCCTGCTTTTTGATGAAAGATTGAATTCTCATTTATAGTCAAAGCGGTTGGATCATCATGTTTTGAAATGCAAATTGGGTATCTACTTGATTCAACTTATCAGAGTTTTTAAGACATGCCTACTGTTGACAATCACCATGAAAAGCTCAGGAAACATTGATTATACTCATGGCATATTTCCAGTTTTGGTGAATGGCCCTAACATCAATTGGAAGATATATAGTTTACTGTCAAGTAAATTTGAGGAAGAGGCCAATTATACTATACTCAATATTGGATCATGTGGACTACATCAAATATATAATGCTTTTCAAACAGACAGTAAAAAATGGGGTAGTACATTGAGTAAACCCTGGGTTCTGTTCTGGTTGTTCAAGAATACACCAGCCAGATGGGAAGCCTATACTAAAATCAGCTCTTTTTTCAATACAACTTTGTAAACATGGAAGGTTGGAAAATGTGGCACTGGAAAAGTGGCCATATCTACAGAAATGGGTCAAAGAGTTGCAGCTGAGGAAAGCTTCAAATTCATAATTAATATCATTTATTGTGATAGATGCAAACATTTTTACATTTTTATCAGTAACAAAAAAGTCACACCATTTTTAACAAAGTACCAAACAGTCATGCCAGTGCTGCCCTTCTTGTTAGAGGACTTATGCAAGATGCTACAAAGTCTGTTGGATAGAATTCTCAAGGAGGATGTATGCAGTAACATTCATTAAATTGATGAAAATTGATTTTTAAGATAAATCATTGTACAAAGATAAATTTCAAAGTTGAAGTAGGATTTACTACTGGCAGGTTAGTGACAGAGTTGAAGTTTAAAAAGTGCATTTCTGAGAAAGATATGTTTGCTGTCAGAACTGAAACAGAAATTTATCAACACAATTGTTTCCAAGTTGCTTGAAAAATTACAAATTCAGTTTAGATTAGTCAGGCATTTGTTCATGGATGAACCTGTTGAAAATATCTAACCAAGACCTGTATTAACACAACTGAAGAGAACATTAGAAGTCACGATTGAGGCAAAATGTCAAAAATGGAGAGATTTGATGATATTATAAAACAATTGAAGAGCTTCTTTGATGAGAATTTGGCTAATGTTGAATTCAGGTCATTCATCTCTGGTACCTCTTGTTTGGACACAATGATGTATGGCACTGTGTATGTAAGAACTGAGTGGGCATCTCTTTGAGCTTTTATCCTAAAAATCCCTTGGACAGGTTTCTATTAAGAGAGGATTTTCAGTAAACATGGAGATAATTGTAGAAAATATAAAGGAACGTAGATCATCTGAAATGTGTTGGTGGTGTGAAGAAAATTATTATGTTTAAAGAACTGGTGCTGCTGCTAGACAGAAGTATCAGTAATATTTGGATGAACACAGGAAACATGAAAAACGGAAATGGAGGTGAAAAGAATTGCTGTGCTCGTAAGGATTGACAGTATAAAAGTGAAGAGACAAAGAATTTAAATGAACATGAAAGCTTTGCTTAAGTCAGCAAATAATTGTGTAGTAATGGAAGAGATGCCCTGAAGAAATCTACAAAGGTGTTAAAAAGCATAGCTTAAACAAATGAACAAAAACCTGAATTCTGAACTGCAGGATATGAAGAATTGGATATAAAGTGTTAAATGTAAAAAGGGCAGTTTAATTATAGATCTGTGTGTTTTATTTCAAGATACTTAAGTATTAACAGTTTAGTATTGAAGATATTTGAACATTATTATTAAACTTGGCAAAATGTATTTATTTATATTGTGTCGCTATACACTAGTTAATACATTTGTATTTTATAATTACTCATTTGAAATTATACCATTACTATGAAGATACTTGCCTTCTGTTGAATAAACAACACAGTGTTACATCTGTAAATGGACTTTTCTTAGTATTATAGGTATGGATAAAGCGATTTTTGGGTCTAGAAAAAAACCTGGAAATTCATTTCCAGGTATGCTGTATGAATCTTGTATATAACTTTATGAAAAATTGTAGTTTTAAGTTGCCAAAATGGATTGTTTGCTATAATTCACACTACAAGTATACACACATATATATATATATATATATAAAACAAAAGAATACTAAAAAAATTTATTTTGTCACATATATGTTGAAGTAAAACTACATAAGTTCACGATAAAACAAAACAAACATAATAACAGGAAGTATTTATTAAACGTTTTGGAATCGTCATAATTCCATCATCAGTAATCTAGAGGTACATGAACAAGCAAACAATATTTGTTTGTAATTACAACAGAAATATATACATAAGAAATAAATAATTCGATTATACAAATATAACACAAGAAATTGAAAACTGAGGCACAAGTGAAATAATTAAAATAGGTTTAAATCCAGTGAAGACTGTGTGTTATTTAGGAACAGAAGAAGAGTTTTTATGTATAA